CACCCTAGGCCGGAGGTCGATGATCGACTTTGTCGTCGTGTCATCTGATCTCCGGCCGCGTGTCTTGGACACTCGGGTGAAGAGAGGGGCTGAGCTGTCAACTGATCACCACCTGGTTGTGAGTTGGGTTCGCTGGCGGAGGAGGAAGCCGGAAAGACCTGGCAGGCCCAAGCGTGTAGTGAGGGTCTGTTGGGAACGTCTGGCGGAGCCCTCTGTCAGAGGGACCTTCAACTCGCACCTCCGGGAGGACTTCTCCCGGATTCCGGGGGAGGCCAGAGATATGGAGTCCGAGTGGGCTTCATTCTCGGCCTCTATTGTCAATGCAGCTGCTCGGAGCTGTGGGCGTAAGGTCTGTGGTGCCTGTCGCGGCGGCAACCCCAGAACCCGGTGGTGGACACCGGAAGTAAGGGATGCTGTCAAGCTGAAGAAGGAGTCCTATCGGGCCTTGCTGGCTCGGGGGACTCCTGAGGCAGCTGACGGGTACCGGTGGGCCAAGCGTGCTGCAGCCCGTGTGGTCGCGGAGGCAAAAACTCGGAGCTGGGAGGAGTTCGGGGAGGCCATGGAGAAGGACTATCGGACGGCCTCAAAGAGATTCTGGCAAACCGTCCGGCGCCTCAGGAGGGGAAAGCAGTTCTTCACCAACACTGTTTACAGTGCGGGGGGAGAGCTGTTGACCTCGACTGGGGACGTTGTCCGGCGGTGGAAGGAATACTTTGAGGATCTCCTCAATCCCACCGTCACGTCCTCCTCCGAGGAGGCCGAGGCTGGGGACTCGGAGGCGGACTCATCCATCACCCTGGCCGAAGTCACTGAGGTGGTTGGCAAGCTCCTTGGTGGCAAGGCTCCGGGGTTGGATGAGATCCGTCCTGAGTACCTGAAGTCTCTGGATGTTGTGGGGCTGTCTTGGCTGACACGCCTCTTCAACATCGCGTGGCGGTCGGGGACAGTACCTCTGGACTGGCAAACCGGGGTGGTGGTCCCTCTGTATAAGAAGGGGGACCGGAGGGTGTGTTCCAACTATAGGGGGATCACACTTCTCAGCCTTCCCGGTAAGGTCTATGCCAGGGTACTGGAGAGGAGAATCCGGCCGATAGTCGAACCTCGGATTCAGGAGGAGCAGTGTGGTTTTCGTCCTGGCCGTGGAACACTGGACCAGCTCTACACTCTCCATCGGGTGCTCGAGGGTTCATGGGAGTTTGCCCAACCAGTCCACATGTGTTTTGTGGATCTGGAGAAGGCATTCGACCGTGTCCCTCGTGGTGTCCTGTGGGGGGTGCTCTGGGAGTATGGGGTCCGGGGCCCTTTGCTAAGGGCTGTCCGGTCCCTGTATGACCGGAGCAGGAGCTGTGTTCGCATTGCCGGCAGTAAGTCAGACCTGTTCCCGGTGCATGTTGGACTCCGCCAGGGCTGCCCTTTGTCACCGGTTCTGTTCATTGTATTTATGGACAGAATTTCTAGGCGCAGTCAGGGGCCGGAGGGGGTCCGGTTTGGGGACCACAGGATTTCATCTCTGCTGTTTGCGGACGATGTTGTCCTGTTGGCTTCATCGAACCAGGACCTGCAATGTGCACTGGGGCGGTTTGCAGCCGAGTGTGAAGCGGCTGGGATGAAGATCAGCTCTTCCAAGTCCGAGGCCATGGTTCTCGACCGGAAAAAGGTGGCTTGCCCTCTCCGGGTGGGTGGGGAGTCTTTGCCTCAAGTGGAGGAGTTCAAGTATCTCTATGTATATCTATGGTCATGAGCTCTGGGTAGTGACCGAAAGGACGAGATCGCGGATACAAGCGCTCGAAATGAGTTTCCTCCGCAGGGTGGCTGGGCGCTCCCTTAGAGATAGGGTGAGGAGCTCAGTCACACGGGAGGAGCTCGGAGTAGAGCCGCTGCTCCTCCACGTCGAGAGGAGCCAGTTGAGGTGGCTCGGGCATCTGTTCCGGATGCCTCCTGGGCGCCTCCCTCGGGAGGTGTTCTGGGCATGTCCCACCGGGAGGAGGCCTCGGGGAAGACCCAGGACACGCTGGAGGGACTATGTCTCTCGGCTGGCCTGGGAACGCCTCGGGGTCCCCCCGGAGGAGCTGGAGGACGTGTCTGGGGTGAAGGAAGTCTGGGAGTCCCTGCTTAGGCTGCTGCCCCCGCGACCCGGCCCCGGATAAGCGGACGAAAATGGATGGATGGATGAAAAATATCAGTAGCTACCTATAAGTAGCTACCTATATTATACATTACTTCCCATACATCAGTCTTGCATTTTTTCCTTTTTCCTCTGCATATCTCCACTCTTTGTGTGATTTATATAGACTAAAGGCTGATTTTAAGTAAATATTTTGTGGCTCTGGAGGTTTAGTGCACTGAATAAATATCGTAAATATTTAAATTTTACCAAATGCATGCTTGATTTGAACAGCCGCAGTAATTGGCAGAGCTGTAAAAAATTGCTTTCCCTACTTCGCTGCCCTTTTGGAAATGAACACAGTCACAGTCTTTAGAAACGTTGTGGATCAAAGACAGAAACACATCTCTGGGTATTATGTAGATTTATGAAAATGTAATTAATAAAGTGTAATTGACCAAGTAGTCAAAGTCAGCTGAGTCCGTAATAATGCTGTAAATTGAGTAATTAACTAACGCTCTACCCTTAAAATCTATTAAACTGGCTGGCAGATGCTTGGAGGATTTGGAGTGAAGAGTTCATTTGAAAAGACAGGGGGAGTGCTGAAAACTGCACAATATATCAAAATTAAATCGCAAAGACTGCAATTATTTAGGCAATAGATGTAGTATAAACAAATAATAAAACTGCTAAGCCTTGTTAGCAGTTCTGAAATTCATGGGATTCTTGTATTAGTTTGTATTTCAGTCTTCTCACAAAATGTAATACTCCTTGAGTTGTTTACAATGTGCACTCAACTCACACTTTTTTTTATTTACTTTAATCACAAATCTAATCACAACTGCAAATGCATTTTTTTTCTCCAAAATTCTGCAGCCCTATTTCAAAGTCCGATATGATCCTGGTCCGTGTGCCATGACAACCCCACTGTCCCAGGCCCATCGATATAAATTTGGGGGGCCCAGGCCAAGAAGCTTCACAGGGGCCCCTCCTTTCATATAAATTAATAGGAAAAGAGTCCAATTCTGGGCCCCTTAAACACTGGGGCCCGGGACAACAGACAGCTTTGTTCCTTCTCTGTTTAGGCAAGGCAAGGCAAGGCAAGTTTATTTGTATAGCACAATTCGTACACAAAGTGATTCAAAGTGCTTTACAGAATAAGAAATATATTAAAATCATAATAAAAACAAATCAAAACATAAATAATCATGAAGATTAAAATTAAAAAGAGAGACATAAATTGGAGAGAGGAGTGTGGATTGAAAACCTTTCAGTTATATGCACAGTTAAACAGAAATGTTTTGAGCCTGGATTTAAACAGCGTCACAGAAGAGTCTGTCTCACATGTTCAGGAAGACTGTTCCAGGTTTTAGCTGCATGAACCTGAAACGCTGACTCCCCTTGTTTAGTCCTGACTCTGGGCACCAGCAGGAGGCCGGTCCCTGAGGTCCTCAGAGTGCGAGATGGTTCATATGACACTAACATGTCACAGATGTACTTTGGTGCTCGGCCATGGAGAGACTTGTACACAAGCAGAGCTGCTTTAAACTCTATTCTCTGAGGCACAGGAAGCCAGTGCAGAGACCTGAGCACAGGACTTATGTGCTCGTACTTCCTAGTTTGAGTAAGGACCCGAGCTGCAGCGTTCTGGATGTTCTGCAGCTGTCTCACAGCTCGTTTTGAGAGACCAGTGAGCAGACCATTACAGTAGTCTAACCTACTGGAGACAAACGCATGGATAAGTTTCTCCAAGTCTGCTTTAGACAGTAAACCTTTGATTTTTGCTATGTTTTTTAGATGGTAAAAGGCTGCAGATGTTATTGATTTGATGTGGCTGTTAAAGTTCAAGTCTGAGTCCATTATTACCCCTAGATTTCTTGCCTGATTTGAAGGTTTTAGAGAGAGAGACTGGAGGTGACTGCTGACACTGTCCCTTTGTTTCTGTGGACCAAACACTATGACTTCAGTCTTGTCAGAGTTTAGCTGGAGAAAGTTGTTTTGCATCCACACACTGATCTGTTGGATGCAGTGACCAAGTGACTCCACTGGTCCATAGTCTCCTGCTGCCAGAGAGACGTAGATCTGAGTGTCATCTGCATAATTGTGGTAGGACACATTATTGCTGCTTATTAACTGGCCTAATGGCAGCATGTAGAGATTGAACAACATGGGGCCCAGGATTGACCCCTGAGGCACCCCACAGGCCAGGGCCATGTGATCTGAGACACAGTTTCCAATTTCAACAAAATACTTCCTGTCTTCTAGATAGGACTTGAACCAGTTTAGTACAGTACCAGAGATGCCCACCCAGTCCTCTAGTCTCTGTAAGAGGATCCCATGATCGACAGTGTCAAAAGCAGCACTAAGATCTAACAGGATCAAGACTGAGACTTTGCCTGCATCAGTGTTCAGGCGGATGTCATTTGTCACCTTGATAAGAGCAGTCTCAGTGCTGTGGTGGGCTCTAAAACCTGACTGGAAAACATCAAAGGACTTGTTTATTTGGAGAAAGTTCGTAAACTGTTGGTAAACAGCTTTTTCAAGGACTTTGCCAAAAAAGGACAGATTTGAGATGGGTCGGAAATTGTTCAGTACTGTGGCATCAAGACTTCTTTAGGAGAGGCTTAATGACCGCAGTTTTCAACGCATTTGGGAATGTTCCAGATTGAAGTGACATGTTAACTATGTGAGTGAGTGGTGAAAGTAAACTGTTGAGGATGGACTTTAGAAATCTAGTGGGTAACATGTCCAGGCAGCAAGTAGATGAACTCAGACTGTTTACTGCTTTGGTCTAGCCTACCAGGCACTTAAAACATGCTGATGTGCAAGTCTCCTCATTACAAGTGATTCTCCAAAGTAGGCCAACTCTTTGTGCCCTCTTTTGTCTCCTCTCTAGTGGACGGAGCCATCCATCGAGCCGCTGGTCCCTTGCTGAAGAAAGAGTGTGCCTCTCTGAATGGCTGTGAGACCGGACAAGCCAAGATTACCTGTGCGTACGGCCTCCCTGCCAAGTGTGAGTAAGACGTCCGTGAAGCTGCCTCCCCAGAGAAGTGCGCCTCACTGCTCTCGGCGTGACTGTGAGGAAAGGCCAGACAGAGACAGATTTCTCACTCTCACAGAAGAACTAACATACTATAACTAAAAGGGAATTCAAGTTTTTTTTCTCTCCAAAAAAAAAAAAAAAACTTTAAATGTTGATTCATTTTGTGTCAAGCTTTTAGAAAACTGAAATAACAAAACATAAATAACAAAAAAAAAGTGATTTACACAAAAAGACAAATATAAAAGAAGTTAGTGTAATCCCTCATTGTCCAGGTAGGACACATAGCAAAAGAAAGATTCAAAAAGAAAGATTCATTTCTGTCAACTGGACAAAAGGTTTTTTAGTGAACAAAAAACCCTTTTGTCTCGTTAACACAATTGAAACCAAAACTATGCCACTGCTTGACCACAGCCCCCTCCTTTCAGCTTTCAACATTTGCCACCATCCTGTCCCTTTCCATAGTTTGATTATTCTTTCCCGTTGCGAAGGTCACCAGTCTAGTTCTTGGCACTCAAAAAGCAGGCTATGCAAATCTTTAGAGACATGTCCCTGAAACCTTACCATAAAAGCCATACCATAAAAATATTTATCTGTAAATAAATTTAATTGTAATGACAAGCAAGTTCCTGACAGGACCACAACCCCTAGAAGTGAGAAATTTAAATGCTCTCCCACAAAACATGCTCATTTATAAACCGTATAAATCTTTGAGTCTTCGCTCACCATCCAGATTTACCACAGAAGCTTTTCGGGTATATTCTTAATAATGTCACTTAAATCCATTTATAGAAGAGTAAATGGCATTCAATAATTAAGTGGCACTTCTTTGCAGGATGCATAATGCTGTAAGACGCTGAAGATTCAACACGACAGAAAACGCCTTTTTAGGTGTTTAGATGAAAAAACCCTGCTCAGCTTTCTTGACATCTGAAGAAAAACATGTGACCGAGAGGAGCATTAGTATGCGCTAACACTAACAAGAACAATTTAACAGTACCCATGGCTTTTATGTTAAAATCTTCAAAACTCATCACATTGGTTTAAATTTAGAGCCTGTAAGACAACACTTCAGCACACTTCACAAGTGAAAGCACACTGCCATCACAGCTACAGGATAACTCATTTAGGAGAGCTTATTCACCTTTCTAAATATGGCTTATTATTTATAAAAGAGCATGTAAATAATATGCATCAGTTACTTTTACATGATGTGGCTTTGGGGATAGCTTCTTATTCTTTCTTGTTTTTTTAAGTCACACTTTTGAAAGTCTGAGCATGCCTAAAACTAATGCAAGTCACAGAAACCAGGTCATTATGACCCCTAAGGTTTGAGACACCATGACCAATGGCCAATTCAATTTTGAATTGAAAAACAAACTTAAAACATACAGTAATGCATTTTTGAAAAATATTGTAATGTGGGAATAGTAAACGAGTAAACAATTTTAATATGGTTTTCTAAGTACAAGTACAGGACATCTTGGCAAAATACATTATAATTTGCAAGTGTGATCACGTAGGCTGTAGGCGTGAATAAATAAATGCAAAACACCATTTCACCTTTGTAGACTAACCATTACCAAAGCATTAATATTTGACCTATGCATGGAGTGAGAGAGGTGTCAAAAGCTTGATTTTATTTCATTTTGTTGGCAAAGCATTAAACTACACACTAATATTGTGTGATCCAGCAGTGTCAAAAATGAGTGTCAAATGGCTTTATTAAACAGGCGCCTGGGTCTTTAATCATCTCGTTCAGTCTTGTTAAGGTGCCAGTTAAAAGTCTGTACATGACAGTTTCTCAACCCCTCTCCTCTTAATGTGACATTTTGTCAAGAGCTAATCACCATTTCATCACACCGCATAAAGACACATCAGAGTTAGACCCGGCGCCCAGGGCATGTGCTGTATGTAATGGCCGCTCAGGTATGTGTGTACCTCTGTGTGTCATATCAGCTTATGAAGCCACACTGACAGTGAGGAAAAAAGGATATTATGTGTAAGAGGAGGATGCTCCCGGCAAAATGGAGATTGTAGAAGAGATAAATGTGTAAAAGACATCAAAGATACCAGCGTGTGGAGGAGACAGCAGAGGTGTTTTTAATGAGCTCACCAGTTGATTTACCTGTATGCATTTTCTGCTCACACCTTACTGACTCAAATTGTTTTTCAGTATGCAATTATGTTTATTGTGTGTGTGCGTGTGTGTGTGCGTGCGCGCGTGTGTGTGTTAATAAATAAATAAATAAATATATATATATATATATATATATATATATATATATATATATATATATATATATATATATATATTATTTATAAGGGAAATTCAAGTTAATTATAGTATATTTGGTTAGGATATATATTTTGTTTACTGCTACAGGTTAACTGGGTATATTTCCTCCTATTTCTGCACTACAGAGTGCACCACATGTGGATGTGGGTAAGGCTGTCATGGGGCAACACCAAACATGTAACAACAGACTAAACCTAATCTAAACCACTGCTCAGTGTGTGCAGAGGAGAGAGACTCACTCTTCTCATACAAATATTAGCTTCAGAAATGATTCAACCTGAGCTTGCTACAGTGCTTAAACATTCACAACAGGGCTTGATTACGTCTCAGCAGGAGGCAGCGGAGCAACAACAACGGAGCTAAAGCCCCGCACAGTGTAACCAAGCATGCCCAGAACCTCTGGAGGCAGAGGTGCACTGAGAACGGAGAGATGGCAAAATGAAAGCGACAGGGGAAGGAATAGACTGAGATAGAGGTCCAATCTCAAACTCAACACTCTGCTCTGATTTGAATGGGCATGCCAGCAGATGTGCTCTGATTTGTATGGGCATGCCAGCAGATGTGCCATTTGAAGGGCCACTGGCTCACAAGTTGCCAAATGGTCCTGAGGACCTGCTGTCAGGCGGACTGTGATCCCAGAGCCACTTAACCAACCGCATCCCTGAGCTGTAGCCTAGCAACCCCCGGGTCTATGGCACACCACTGTTTAGCACAGGGCACATGTAATTTAGGGATGTTGACAAATGACAATCCAGAGCCAAACAAGCCCTGGCTAAAGTTAGCTGAAGCACGAGCATTGAGACCAGAGATGTTTTAATCAGAAATGTGCCTGTTGTGTGCATTGTCATTAAATGTAAAGTTAGGGGAGTTTTCATTAAATGGCCACTTTAAAAAGCTTTGCTCACTTGAGTTGCATCAGCGGGGATTGTCCTGACGTGTTGTTGAGGCGACTGTAGGCCCTGAGCTCACCTGTGTACCAATACACACTGTTACTATGAGTCTGTTTCCCTATTGCCCATTGGTCCCCAGCTAAATACAGATACACCAAAACACAAGATGACTCTTAACACCAGACAAACGGCACAAAGCAAAAAAGAGATTTAGAATTATAATAAGACCAGTTTAATACTCTGTTTTGTTTAAATGTTGTAAAATGCACAAACAATTACAGTATAGTAAAATTTTATCTTTTAACAACATCTCCTACCATTGCCAGGATGTATATTTAAGGCATCACTGAGTCGCTTTGCAATAATATTTGTTTACTGTGAGCAATCATGGCCTCTAGAATTTAAATTCCGTTCACATCGGCATAATCCAGTTTCAGTCGGTAAATCCATGGGAGCGTCACCTTTCCACTGAGAGAGAGCTGTAGGTCAGATTTACATTTCTTATGGCATATTTTACTGTGCATTGCTTTTTTCTGAGGTGGACATTGTGTACAGTATATATTGTGTATTACTGTCTGGTGGAGGCTTGAACACAGTTGGAGTTTATAAAAGATGAAAACATGATGAGGAGGCTGAGGCGCAGATAGAAAAGTGCTGCAGGAGATGGAGAGGTACAAAGCAGACGGATCTCACTCTGTCAGATGTAGCTCTTCTTCCATCTCTCCGCTCCTTTTCCCTCAGTGGCCAATTAGCGCTAATTAAAATCCTCACTGCTCGCTCCTGGACCCCTCCTCTGCTTGACTGCCAGTTTCTTCCCTCTGAATCGTCGCTGTCACAATCTCAGCTAGTTTTTCACATCTCATCTTAAAATTATGTATTTTTCATACATCATTCTCCAAACACCTTGTTCCCACCTTCTCTCACCTACTTAATTTAACTTCTTCTTCCTTTCCCTGTCAATCTTCCTACACAATTTTTATCTTCTAATTTTCTCAGTACATTGAGATCAAATGAGTGTGGCATTGAGGCCTGTAATGTATTGTCTGGAAAGTTACAATGCTATGTATATCCTGCATCCTTATCAATGTACCTATATTCTGCCAGAAACTAAAAGAAAAATGAATTCTCTTGGTTGGGCGTGATTTCATGATTAGTACATATTTCACCTGTCCCACAAGCCCAACCCTTTCATCCATCCATTGTGAACTTCTAGTCATCTGTTTTTTCCACAATACTACTTAGATAACTTAGACCATCTTAGCGTACAATGGACCTCTGAAGTGTGTTGTTTTACTTGAATAACTTCTAACTAGGAATTGGACAATATAGAAATTATATTAGTGTCACGATTATCATGAATAATTGTGATTGACAAATATCGCGATACTCATTAAAGTTGCTGACAGTTTAAAATGTTATGGATATGAATAATTATAAGAATAATTTTAATATTATGTATCGGTTTCATGTTTAAACAATGGTTGAAGTGAAAAAAAAGTATGATCTAGAACCATCATAGATATGCACATTCTGGTGATAAAATGCAGATTGTCTTTGTTGGCGATTATCACGATTATATAAAATGTCCCACGAATGGTTATTTTCTCCCATTTTTATCACAATAAATGTAGTTAATATGGTTAACTGAGATTCAGGAGCAGGACCACGCCTCCAGCTGCTCTTTCCTCTCACCAGCGAACCACAACTCACCTCGACCACGCCTCAAATTTCCCAGAAGCCTATATGCAGTAGCCTTTCCCATCATCCCAGTTTGTCTCGGCTAA